AAGGGTGTCGAGGCTGACATTTCTGGACTGTCCACATTCACGATAAATTTATCCACCACTCGGCCACACCGCTGTCCATTTAACAGTTCGGCGGACTGCTAAGATAGGGCGTCAACATTCATGGATTTGTCGAATTTTTCTGAGAAACGTTGTCAAATTTTAACACATTGTAGTGTGTAATTGACAATTAGGACAGGTCTGATTATAAATTACTTAACACACCACATACACGAGAATAGGGATTTATTGGTTAGCTATCGAGTACATAAATTTACACTGCATCAAATTGAAATGGTATTTCATTGCAAATTTGGCAAAATTAACACCATTTACGAGCACAACATTAATCGATGTGTTTAACTATTATTTCTCGTCACGATGCATTTAACCAAGCAGTTTGTGTAAAAAAATTGTTTGTGATACAATCAGGTTTTTTGGTATAGGCAGGCTAGCGATATGCTATCTCTTCTCACCTCTAACTATCAACAATAACACTCGGGTAGGCGCGATGAATACACCATTTAATGTCCACGTATTTGGAATGTCGACAGCCGATCCTCTGATTGGCGGTCATCTGCTCGCCCACCGACCGCCTCGTTGTGTTCCATGTGCATTTTCTTTCAAAATCCCCTCATAACACTATCCACCGAAGTTATTAATTAAACTGAATGCATTTAATGCCGTGTTCTTTCCCGTGTCTTGATTTTACGCTAAGGAGGGATGCTGCGAAAAAAATAGGCTTTTTGTCAACCTGACACCACATGTTTGGGGCAAAGGCGTGAACCGAAATTCATTGGTACAAAAGTTTTGAAATATCTTTGTATCGAGCCTCTATACTTCTGCTCCCAACTAATTTACAACATGTGGTAATTTATTAAAAATATATATTATTTTATCCGTGTTTTATCACGTTACAATAACGGGCATGTCCTTATTCCTAATTACACTCGTCTTATCCTATGACCTCTGGAGCTAACAGCCACACAAAAGAAAATAATTAAGGTGAATCTGGATCGTGTCATGTCAGGATCTATCCTGAAGTAATGGGATCTTCCATTACCCCCACAAACCGAAGTATTTTTTGCCTCCCTTCTTGTCCACACAGAAAGAAAACCACTTGAGAATAAGGCATGATGGAATTTCGTTCATAAAATTAATTGTCGCGTACATTTCTGGGCAGTCCTGCCTTTGGTGACGGCAAAGACTGCTGCCCGATTTTAATCAAAATCAAAAAAGGAAAGTGTCATTTCTACTGTTACTCTAGTCTTCATTTCTTTCACGGTTGAAACTGCGACAAAGTTTGGTGCAGATGGAAAATTTCCCACTGTAAATCATCATGGAAGTCGATGATGATTTTCCAATGGACCAAGTTCGAACATTTTGTGCAAAGTTCAGCGTTGAGTTTGGTAACTGGCCACGTGGAAGAAGTTGGCGCAAAATGATTCTTGAATACGGCTGTTCAGCATTCGTCAGAGATTCTTTTCTTCCCCTTTCATATCTTCAGCGTCCTTTTTCCTCTCTTCTGCCATGGACAAATGGTTTTTTATCTTCACATATGTCTGGACCCGGGAAAAGCTAGTTTTAATGGTTTGTAGGAAGAGAAGTGGCTGTGGGAACGCAGTTCAAAACTAATGAAGTCAGCCGGGAAGTACAGTCAAAAGGTCAACATACAGTTTTTCAACAGCCTTTTTGTGGTGATCGTGGTTTGGGAACTATTCACACAACCATGAACGTTGCCTTAATCAGTGCCGGGAGATTTCCCAGTGCCAAATTTGTTACCTTGTCCAAGTCTCTGCTTTTCAATTGACAAGGACACTGCTTGACTGTCCAAAGAGCTGGAACACCGTCGTAGAATCCTCATGAACATTTCTGCTGCAGTTTTAGCCTAAAACGTCTTTAATCTGAAACGTGTGAACTCATTTTTCCAATTTGAATTCCAAAGCTGCACTCACAGCAGTTTAAACAAAGGTAACTATGAGCTGCGTAATTTTATCACTGAATTCTGGACTGTTCGGAGTTGACAAAAACATGAAGGCTTAGATTAAAACCCACACACAACTCTGCTTTTAAATGGAGGGCGTCAAGTCTAGTTAGGGCAAAATGACATTGAATTTCCTAAAAAACCAAGAAGGGTGAAATCCCCGTGGGTAAACTGGATTAGAGCAAAAACCTTCAGTGTTTGTTTAAGCCGAAGCAAAATTGTAACGTTTTTTTGAATTTTAAAAGACCGGGAATTGGATCGTTTGTAGGATTTTCACATCTCACACATCCAACGCTGTGATTACAGACTTGGGATTTTGTGCCGACATGGGAATGAGTTTTTTTCGGCAAAGAAAGCATATTGCGGTTAGGGGAATCGAGCAGCCAATGAGCTGATTGCAAATTTATACATGATGGTAAGGAGGCATTTTAAGTGCCCTGCTCGTAAAATACCTCTCGGTTTTAATGAAAATTAACGTAATTTATCGTGAAAAAACTAGGAATTAATTAAAACTAGGGAAGTCAGAGGAAACAATGTTTAGAGGCAAAATATTTTAACAAATCTTGTAATGCAGACCTCCTGGATAATAGATTTCAATAAGCACGCTGATGTTCCACCGAACGTACTCTTCAACAGTACCTAAAAATTCTGTCCATCGTAGCAACTTGCTTTGTGTATGACCCATTTTTTTCGATTTTTCGCCCCGCACTGCACGAAAGCCTTTCTGTCATTAAAACACGCGGTTTGGTATTTGTTTGACATTAAGGATTTCCTAGTTTGTGAATTAGATATGCAAACAAGACCAGAATAAAAGGTACGGTTTGCGTAACCCAAAGCCACCTGAAGAATTCAAACTAAAAGGAGTTTTTGATGCATGCACATTTTGCTGCATGCTCTGTTGCCTGATGTTTTTGATACGTTTTATCCGAAATATCCTAAAAAATTGGTGCCTGACACAGTAGTTGGTTAAGAGTATAATTTCTAGCGATGGATTACGCAGCAGTCTGCATTGTTTGACACCTCTCAAGAAGCGACAGTGAGCCTTATTTACAGTGTTTTAAATTTGTTTGTGAAAGTAACCAATCATTAGTCGCGGAATTAGCATAGCATTTAAAATCCAACCACGTGGCCAATCGCTGTTTAGCAACTTCGACTTAATTAAACTTTAAAGAAAACAAAGGATCTGCAGAAGGACTGATTTTAAGTAGCCGAAAAATACGGTAAATGGAT